TCTTCATGAAACAAGTAATAATCTACTTGTCACTCTTCTCTGCAGGACAGTGATTTTTGTCTCAGGATACAAGTTAGATATGGCAAAGTTTAAGACTTATTTGTGCAGTAATACGTTAACACTGATAATCTAGATATTTCCGAGTGTGCTTAAAAACTCCTTTTGTTTTTATTATTTTTTTTTCTAAATTGTGTGCTGTCGTGAGTTGCTGAATTAAGGCCAGTAAGATCTTTCTTTTTATTCTTTAAATTAAAAAAAAAATATTTTTGGCTGCGTTGGGTCTTTGTTGCAGTGCGCGGGCTTCTCATTGCGGTGGCTTCTCTTGTTGCGGAGCACAGGCTCTAAGCACACAGGTTTCAGTAGTTGTGGCACGCGGGCTTAGTAGTTGTGGCTCGTGGGCTCTACAGTGCAGGCTCAGCGGCCATGGCTCACGGGCTTAGTTGCTCCGTGGCATGTGGGATCTCCCCGGACCAGGGCTCGAACCCATGTCCCCTGCATTGGCAGGCGGATTCCTCACCACTGCGCCACCAGAGAAGCCCCTAAAAACACCTTTTAAATACTTATAAGGAGCTTACACATCAGATTAACACATATGGTGTTTCTTTTTTTTTGGCCACGCCGGCGGCATGTAGGATCTTAGATCCCAGACCAGGGATTGAACCTGCGCCCCTGTAGTGGAAGCACAGAGTCTTAACCACTGGACAGCCAGGGAAGTCCCTGGTGTTTCCTTTTTTAACAGAAATCAAAAGGAAATATGTATAATAAAATAGTTATGTGAGTTGTTAGTTTTAGGTTCCTTGCAAATGGTATTCTTTTCTCTTGGGTTGTTTCTATTAGAAAGATTATAATAGTTGTTTTGAAAATGGTCTGGAGGAGGGAATAAATTAGGAGTTTGGGATTAACATATACACACTACTGTATATAAGAGATAACCAACAAGGACCTGCTGTACAGCACAGGGAACTCTACTCAATATCTTGTAATAACCTATAAGGGAAAAGAATCTGACAAAGAACATATATACGTGTAACTGGGTCACTTTGCTGTATACCTGAAACTAACACAACATTGTAAATCAAATTTACTTCAATTTTTAAAAATTAGAAAATAAAATGATTTTAAAATGATCTGAAGAAAGTTTTTGACACTATGTGTTCATCCAACCAGTTTATTGAAAGTGACTTCATAATTGCCAGGCCCACGGGATGCTTCTTGGCTTTCATCTCCTTTGGTCTTTCTCTGGCAGTGACAGCGGGCCCACTTCTGCTTGGGTGGACGCTCTCCCTCCCTCTTGCTTTCGTCCTGTGCCATCCTGCTTCCCTGAGGGCTCCTTTTCAGGATGTTTTTGTTACAAGGGCTTTCTTTCTGCCCACACTTGAGATGCTGTCGTTTCCGCATCCTCAGACGTGTTGTGATCCTGTGTCTATGCTGCTGCCTCATTGAAACCTCCTGTAGGTGCGCCATAGTCTGCAAGGGAAGCAAACTCAGATGCCCACGTGGGCAAGCGATGGAAATAAATGAAGATCTGGTTATTAAGAAAAAAAATAATAAAGCAGCGTAGGAAACCGACAAGGCTTTTTAAAAACTGGAAGGAGGATGTCTCATTAGAGCCCTTTCCACCTGGCCCAGCCTCAGTCTCCGTGAAGGAGTGAAGGCCATACTGACCTCGTGCCGTAAACGCTCTCTGTCCCTGGCACCCAGCTGCTCGGGTGAGGCCAGAGGACAAAGGGCCCTCCTCTCCTGGAGCTGACGCCGGTTCTGCAGATCTGAGTAACACAAGGAGTCACACCAGGGCTAATAATATTTAGTATGACCAGATGTTCAAATTTGTTTTAAAAGGGCCTGAAATCCAGATTTTTCTGTGAAATTTGACTTTTGAAAATGTTGACTTACAGACAGGGAAAGACAAATATCACATGATATCACTTATATGTGGAATCTGAAAAAATAATATAAATGAACATATTTACAAAACAGAAACAGACTCACAGACATAACAAACTTACGGTTACCAAAGGGGAAAGGGGGGGAAGGGGGGATGGTGGGAGGTAAATTAAGAGTTTGGAATTAACATACATACACACACTACTATATAAAAAATACATAGACAGTAAGGACCTACTGCACAGCCCAGGGAACCACGCTCAGTATCTGGTAATGACCTATAACGGAAAAGAATCTGAAAAAATATATATATGTATATGTATAACCGAATCATGTTGCTGTGCACTTGAAACTAATACAACGTTATAAATTAACTATAGTTCAATAAAAAGTAATTTAAAAAGTACGAGTAGCACCTAAAAACTTAATTGATTCATTAAATGTGGACAAATATTTTAAAGAAGGGTAGAACCTCTTCACACTGTGCTTAACGTCTTTGGAACATTGGTCTCCAAACTACTTTTCTAACATCCGACTCTGAAATTTCAAGGCCTGCATACCTACACCTGTTCTTCCAGCTTCAGCTCCATCCTCTGTTCACAAGGGACCACCCCGGGCCCCTGGTTTCCTCTGTTACGTCCTCGGGATTGTGCTTCTCGCTAGAATGCGTTTCCATTCTCCCTGTCCCCCCTGGTCAGTCAGGACTCACTGACAGCCCAGATGCTGCTTGGAAGGCTGACCCTCATCTCACTGTACAGGGTTTCCCTCACCTTGAAAGGGTTCCGCACTGCCCGTTTTTCCTAAGCAACCTCATTAGAGCGCTCAGCGCTGTTTAATGGACCCTGAGCCCATAGAAGCTATGGTTTCATCCCTGTATCCCGAGAATCTAGCCCAGCACTTGGTGGGCTGGCACTTTGGGCCAACACAGTGCTTCACAGGTACTCGTGGAATGACTGACCAGGCCTGAAATCAGCTGTCTGCAAACTAGCCCTGATGGTAACCCATATCAGAGAGCGTCACCTCCCAAACACAGGACAGACATACTCTGTGAAAAGCGACTTTGTTCCACCTGTAAACGGTCTCGGTATAAAAGTTACTCTTTGATTTAAAATGCTAGTGATCAACTTTTATACCGCGTCACGTCTGAAATAACCACTCAGTCTGTTTTACCCGAATCTCCCTCCCCGCCCCGCCCCACTTCCTGGTCCGCCTTCACAGCGAGACTCCTGGGAAGGTTGTACCGGCTGCCTTGTGCATATTTCATTTACCACCCAGGCTCGTCGTGCTATCGAGCGAAAGCTGTGCTCTCCTCCGGTGTCTGAGTTTTCTTACTTGTTGCTTTCACAGTCGCAGGGTCACATTAAAGTAGGTGCCGGGTGGGAGCGAAGGGGTGCTGGGTAGAGAGGAAGGGCAAACTGTTGAGTGGGAGCTCTGTGCCAGCGACGTCTAGGCGCCGCGCGTGTGCTGCCCCTCCTTCCCTCTCTGAAAACATCCCCGTGAGTCAGGTAGCATTCTCCTCATTTTAAGGACAAGAAAAACGAAGCTGGAACAGGTTAGGTTACACACCGTAGGAGAGCTCTGGCTACTACTTGAGGACAAAGTTGCATAAGTACAATTGGTTCATTATGCACTTCGTCCTTTTTCATCAGTTTTTTTCTTCTGTAAATTCTGTACTGTACAAAGTGTATTAATTTTAGTTGTCTGGTATCTACTGAATTTAGACTTTTTAAAAAGCCAACCAGTTGTTTTCATCCATGTCAGACCTCCCTTAAGAAAAGTTTGGCAATGTTCTCTTTACTATTGTGAAACGCAATTCATAACAGCGATCATCTATTTATATGTGCAGTTGTTTAAAAAATAAATGTAGTGGCCTACATGCTCTGTAAAGCTGAAATACTAACAGTAATTTATATTAAAATACACATGCACCATTACAAGAAACGGAAAATGAAGTAGTCAGATGTTTGTATCTTCTAAGCAGCAGACTCAGACTAAATGCGTATGTTTTCTGGTTTTCACTGTGATGCAAAGAGTATAAGCAATTAGTGATTTGATTTTCCAGAGTAGTAGCTGTTGTTCCAAAGTACAGAAACTTCCTTCGACTTATTTGTGCTTCTGTGTGGCAGTATAACGCTCTAGACTCCGATGGACGATAGCAGAAATGTTGCCTACGTGAGTGTCCAGCGAACTGTTTGAAAGGCGTGGAGGGCACGGAGCAAGCACCCATTTTTGGGACTGTCCCTTGTTGGGTGTCCACGGACCTTGCCCACTTCCCCCCCCCCCCCCCCCATTGAGACAGTGTAAAATGCCCTACACGTTTCTCACAATTCTCGTAAGGGGCAGCCCTGCTCTCCATGAGTGCCACTGATTGAAACTTTCAAACCCAAGTTAACATTGGTCAGAAAAGTATTAAGCATTCATTCCATAGGTTTAAGATACTGTGTGTAGCACAGTGTAAACCAGAAGATGTAAGAATTGATTCCTTTCTTCAAGGGTTTAACAGCCTAGCTAACAAGATGGACCACTTGCATAGACGTAGTTAAAAGTACGTGTTTATCAGGAAGAGAAAGATGGCGGTGAGCTGAGAACAGCCAGAAAGGTCTCACAGAGGCAGCGCAGTACAGAGTGAGATTTGGAGGACGTGTCTATAAAAAAGTGGCTCTAGAAAAGCTTGGAACACAGATGAGGAAAGGGGGCCAAGGAGCCCGACTGGGGTGAAGGAGTGACTGCCGGAAAGTGATGGGCAGCGATCATGGAAATTAAGTTGGAGCAAAACTGTCATATCCAAATGGAGATTAAATTGAATAATTCATGAACGTCAGATATGGTCGCTCTGTACAAAATATTCAAGTTTTGACATGGCTCTTTAAATGAATTTGAAGTTCGTTACCAGTAAAACTGGAGGGCTTAGAATAGAAGACTTGTATTTCTTTAATTGGGAATGCATTTTCAGTTGTGTCTCTTCTTTGGAAGATTTTATTCTATTTATGCTGTTAAATTTGGGATGAACTCACAGCTGTGGTCCGCGGGGACTCATTGTCTCCATGGACATGGACTTTGAATTCCTAAAATAACAGACCATGGTTTGATGTCTCTTCTGTCTTGGTCTCTTGCAGGTATGATTTTGTAGAGGTCGAGGAACCCAGCGACGGAGCCGTATTAGGGCGCTGGTGTGGGTCTGGCACTGTTCCGGGAAAGCAGATTTCTAAAGGCAATCAGATCAGGATACGGTTTGTGTCTGATGAATATTTTCCTTCGGAACCCGGGTTCTGCATCCACTATAACATTGTCATGCCAGTAAGTACCACTTAGAGATGCCCTTATGTATCTGGATCAGTTGTTTGGTCACTTCTTTTTCTCCTTTTAAACAAGAGATTTAGGAAAACCAAGAACCAAAAACCTTTCCATAGCTTGATTTTTTTTTTCATAAATGTCACTATGGTTATCGCTATAATTTATTCACTGCAGATTATTAGTGTCTCCATTGCATTAAAAGTCCACGCTTTTATGTGATATTTTAATTTTCCCCCCATTAAGGTGTCATCTTTCCTTTCTGTACCCACCAAAAGTTGATTTTTTAGATGTGTCATTTTATCTGTTTTGGGGGAAAGGTAAACTTATTAACTACTCTTTTCAAATCAGTGTTTTAGTAAAATATATTTTAAAAAGTAGTTATCTCAGTTTTCCTACTTATCTTAATATTTGTCCTGATTAATAATATTATGGCCTTTGTACCCCAAAGAGGAAGTTTCAAAATTCTCACAGGGATTTAGGAAATCTGTTTTTATTTGTATTGCAATTGTTTATTCCCTTTATTTTATGTATTATTTCAAACATTTGTATCTGTTTGTTGCGCTGCAACGAAAATATTGAAAACCTTCTGGCTGTTTATCACATGCTGCTTATAATGGTAATTCAGAACTATTTGTACAAATATGGTGTCACCTAGTATACTTTCCAAATATGATGAGTATCACCGTTTAAAAAAATATAAAATTGATATCATTAATGATTTCGACAGATTTAGCAAATCAGTATGCACACTGGGAACATAAAATGGTGTGGGCTACATGCATTAATTAACATGTATATTCTAACCAGGTATAAAAATAATGCATCCAGTACACTAACAATTCATGAGGCCAATTAGAAAATATGGGATCAATATTTAACTTTATATTATTATATAATTATTATAATTACAATTAGAATATATATAATTATAATTATGATAATTATATATTATATTGATATGTAAATATTATGAATAATTATACATTAACATATAAATATTGTGAATGATTATACATTATTCATATATTATATAATATTATAATATTATATTATATAATAATTTTTAAACATTGTGAATAATTATATATTATTCATATTATAACATTAAGCAGGAATTTCCCTTTTTTGATTGCCCAAACTCAATTCTGTGGAATAGTATTTAAGCAACTGACTAAATTATGAAATTTAAGTATTGTTTGAGATACAGCTGAAAAGGAACAACAGAATGTAAACTGAAGTTGGAAAAACGATAATTTATTTATTAACAGAATCATTTACTGTGTACAGTTGAAGTTAAGGGAGGTACCTCTAAAATATGCTGTGAATTTACATTGTGAATCTTGATCAATTTTCTGATACAGATTATTTGAGATATCTGTGTCTATTCCATTATGAAATACTTTGCACAGTGTAGATTCTCTACCATGTCCTTTGTTAATTTCCAAAATTTTTCTTAATTTAACTGTTTAACATTTTTATTTAAATTTAATAAAATTTAATAATTTCACCTAGAAAAATGTTACTATTAGACAAGGATGAACTTATTTAAAAACCTTTTGATACTCTGACTATTTGTTTGAATGAAGCCACTAAGAATCTGTTTATCACCCTTTCACAGTACGCTGCTTCACAGAATTTATGAGTTTAGTATTTGTTTTAAGCCTAAAACGCCCTTGGGAGCCATGAGAAAGCTACACTTACACAAAGTTATACAGTCCATATTTTCCAGTTTGGATTTAGCACATCTAATGTTCTTAAATATTTATGAAACAATCAAATTTTACTGTAAAACATAATGGTAGGTCTTCTAGCATAGCGAAGGTTTGATTTATCCCAAACCTGTGACAAAAATAAACTTGAAACTGAGAAGCTGTTTGTGCAGTATTTTAAATGAACTAGTGTCTTCACATTATATTAATAGCAGTCTCTTATCATCCCACAGAATAAGACATGAAAGCAAAAACATATATGCTGACACCAAGTGTTGCCTTCCTCTGATTTTATGATCTCATAGGTTGCCTGGTTGTATAACCCACGGAGTGGTGTGGAAGAAATAAAATATGTAAAGACAAAAACACAGGAAATGTACAGTGCCTCGCTTAGTTCTGTCCCCATTAGAGTTTTTCAATAAGTAGTTGAATACTGAGTTGACCATACAACTCAGTCACCCCAGCTTAACTAACAGCGGATTCACTGACACTCGTGTTTCCATATGTATGTGTGTGTCAGATTCCTGAGCCTGGAGATGAGATAAAGACCCATAAGGATCTGCTGTAAGTACCACCCATCCTCTGGACTGGGAAAGACCCTGCCCCCTGGGTTTGACCTGTTACCAGGGATTCACTGTGACTAAGACCAGAAACTGCATCTGGAAGACTTTGGGTGAAGAGGGTATTTCTGTTTGCATCATCAGAATTAAGTTCAGTACGTTTTTAGATCGTTGCAGAAATAGTTGGATAAATTGTCAATGTGGACTTCGGATTGACACTCTCCTGGGCTCTGTTGAACGTGTCTTTCTTGGTAACTAACTTCTTGGTAACTAGTTGCCCTGCGATGGCTGCCTGGGGAAACAGTTTGCATTATGCTTAGGAAACCATCAGGCTGGGGCCAGAAGAAGCAAGAGAAGAGGACAGTAGGTTCCTGCCTTGCTTAACATGTGTGACCTGGTGATTTTAATCTTGCCAGATGGCTTTCTGGAGTGATCACTGATACGTGAATTGTACTGTCTCACAAGCTTTGACTCCTCAGGGTGTGAGTTTACTTTGACGGTTTACCTGCCATTCCCTCACTTACCCTTTGCCCTGATCCCATGCAGCCGTGGCTCTCTCCATGCAGCCCACACTCATTCTGCTCTCAACAACCGCCCCGAGTTGGTGAGTGAAAATCGGTGAGCGATTTTGCACTCTAGCCTCCCAGAGTGTTGTGAAGTATCAGTGTACGTTGCTCAAGGGCACCCCTCCCTGCCTGACCCTCTCCCCCAGCATCCCTGCCAGCAGGGCATCATCCATCAGTCTTATCTGTGCACCAGCGAAGGAAAGCCTCAGGGAAGAAAGTTGGCCTTTTGGAGAGGAGGCTTTAAAGTTCTGGGGCATTTGCTCAGGGGCAAGTGCCCGTCCAAGCCCCTGGATCCTCGCTCATACTTTTTTTTTTCTTTTTTCCCAGAGATGAACTTCATAATTAACACACCCAGCTCCCCAGAGGCCATGGCCTCCCTGATTGCAAACCCCCTGCTGCACAGGAGGACTGAGGGGCCACCGGCCTGATGGCTTCTTAATTTTGTAATGATACAGTGCTGTTCAGCACAGGCCCTGAGTGCACTGTGAACTTCCTGCCTTGAGCTGTCGCTGTGCAGCTGTTCAGTGCTCCCTCATCTGCCGTCACCCCTGGGGGGGGTGAACCCCCCACGGAGCTATCTCACTTACTGTATGTGACAGAGTAGTGACGATTCATAAACCAGAAAACTGAAGAATCGCAGTAATGGCACGACATACTCTCCTGGTCCTGGCGTATTAGGCTGTATTGCCAAGGTTCCATTCTGGTTCTTCTTAAAGAAAGAATGGAACTGGAATCTTTTCTTTTCTTTCCTTCTTTTTCTTTTTGTTGTTGTTGTTGTTGGGGACTGGAGCACACCCCCGGCGTAAAGAAATTAGTGTCTACGTATGACGTCATACGCATTGATGGGTCTAAGCATCCTTACCTGCTTTTTTATAATGATCAGAACGAATATTTTGCATCTATCGACACATAGAAAACAAAATGTTGAGTTTAATCACATTTTTTTCTGGGACGATTATAGAGAAAGTTTATTTTAATATCCTTTATATTTTACAAAGAAGAGAGTGAACTCCGCAGCCCTCTTTGGGAGCTTGAATGAATATTTATTCCAGTCGACCTTTAAGACTCTGTGGTCTGATTACCATACATCTTAGCAGGAGAGTTTTAATGCATTAGTTAAAGTTCTCAGAAATAGTTTTTGCTACACGTGTTGCCATTAAAAATTGGGATCGCCTTTGAAAGATGATTTACCCACTCTTTTTCCCTCCACCAGTGAATGAGAGAGCGTGTAGTTAAACAAGGGATCCCTTACTATTTCGGACAAAGTGATGCTGATCTAATATAGTCCATACGTGTTTTATATAGAGATATGCTTTCCTTTGTAATGTTATGTTTTCAGTACCATTCTCTTGATTCCCAGGTACCTTAGACTAAGACATGAATAACATTTATCTTTCCATTTTGCTCTTTTAAGTTGATATTACAGACTGTTAGTTTAGAAAAAAAAAACGTGGCATAGGATGTTTACCTGAAATTAGAGCTAGTTCTTTGTAGCTTTTAAAAAAATAGTACCAGATTGACTACATTAATTAAAACTTATAGAAGTTTCATGCTGTTTTCAAGAATTATTTATGGAAATGTATATTCCCCAATCCTGCTCCATTAATACGTAATGGAAAAGAAATGCAGGCAATTGGATGCCAAACAATATATATCCAGCTTTCTGAAGGGGCATAAGGAGTTAATAATGGCTTTGATTTTTGTTTCCTTTATGCTAGAAGAGGGAAAAAGAAGGCCTGGTAGATTAGCAGTGAGAGATTGTTTGGGAAGAAATGAAGCAAAACTGAAATAAAACAGTGCAAGCCTGTTTCTGCTCGGAGGCCACACACAGTGAGCGCCAGCGCACATTTCAGATCTCTTAGAAAGAAAAGAAAATTTCTTGTTTAATTTTGGAGTAATTTATAATAGAGTATGTGTGTTTCACTCTGGGTACTGTAGCATAAGCACCATTATTTTAAAACGTTAAGAAACCTACAAAGGCTGAAAAATAACATCTTTTCTCATATCAAAAAACGTTGTTAAAAGTGTTTTGTTTTTTAAAAAATCTCAGCCTTCAGGTAAAATATACCGCGTATTTTTGTCAGTCAGTTACTTCACAAAACCGTACCTATTTTTGAAATAAACTGCACAAATCCAGATCTGATATTTTTGGTGGTTTTATTCTTTGT